AACTGAGCTACACCCAAGTGGCCGTGTACGATTATAATATAGTTGGCTGTTTAACACCTATAACCAAGCTTCCAGACAGGATTAACACAGTGACTTTGGGGCCCTTGAAACTGTCCTAAGTACCTGCTTTGGTCTGAAGTTGACATGAGAGCTTCTCCCTGGGTAGACACCAGAGACCTAGGTAGATATTTCCAGGGGAAAGTACAGCCCTCCGGCTCACTTGACTGTATTCATTCCCTAGTACATCTAGAAAGACTAAGATGTCTGAGGAGCCAGCCCTGGAGCCCAGCTGATCATGCCACTTTAACTCTGTGATCACACCATCAATGTATCAAAGAAGAATGGGAATGCATTCAGTTCCTGACTTAAAACCAGGGAAACACTAGTCAGCAGGTACTGTGGATTTGTCTTCAATGTTAAGTTGTCATGACCATGACTATTTTATGTTCTGCACTGCAAAGTTGGTTTGAACCACAAGGTTGGTGGTTCAAGCTCACCAGCTGCTCTTTTGAGATCCTATACAGGGTCGCTGTGGGTTGGAACCAACTCGACGACACTTAACAACGATATAACACAAAATAACTACCTTTCATTTATTCTCCCATAACTAGGTTGTCTCACCACTCGTCTGTCAGTTTGTTGTACTATAGTGGCTTGTGAGTTACTGTTATTCTGGAAGCTATGTCATCGGTATTTTAAATACCAGCAGGGTTACCCATGGACAGGTTTCAGATGAGCTTCCAGATGAAGACAGACTAGGAAGAAGGAGTAATGAACTACTTCTGAATATTTAGTCACTGAAAACCGTATGAATAGCAGAGGAACACTGTCAGATATACTGCTGGAAAATGAGCCCCTCAGGTTGGAAGGCACTCAAAATGTGACTGGGGAAGAGCTGCCTCCTCAAAGTAGAGTTGACCGTGATGATGTGAATGGAAAAAAACCCGTGAGAGTAAAGTCCGCGGGACCTTCATTTGCTGATGGGACACAATTCAAAATGAAGAGAAACAACTTTAAATATCCATTAATAATCAGAACATGGGATGTACTAAGTATGAATCTAGGAAAATTAGAAATTGTCAAAAATGAAATGGAATGCATAAACATTGATATCTTAGGCATTAGTGAGCTAAAGTGGACTGGTATTGGCCATTTTGAATATGACAACCACATGGTTTACTATGCGGGAAATGACAAACTGAAGAGGAACGGTGTTGCATTCATTGTCAAAAAGAACATACCCAGATCAGTCATGAGGTACAACACTGTCTGTGATAGGATAATATCCATTGATCTACAGGGAAGCCCAGTTAATATCACTATTATTCAAATTCAGGCACCAACCACTTAGTGAGGATGAAATCAAAATATTCTACCAACTTCTTCAATCTGAAATTGATCAAACATACAATCAAGATGTATGGATCATTACTGGTGATTGGAATGCAAATGTAGGTAGCAAAGAGGAAGGATCAGTAGTTGGAAAATATGGCCTTTGTGATAGGAATGATGCTGGAGATCACATGATAGAAATCTGCAAAATCAATGACTTGTTCATTTCAAATACATTCTTTAGGTACAGAATAAGAAACCAACTATACACATGGACCTCGCCAGATGGAACACAGAAATCAAACTGACTACATCTGCGGAAAGAGACGATGGAAACGCTCCATATCATCAGTCAAAACAAGGCCAGAGGCAGACTATGGAACAGACCATCAACTGCTCATATGCAAATTCAAACTGAAGCTGAAGAAAATGAAAACAAGTCCATAAGAGCCAAAATATGACCTTGAATATATCCCATCTGAATTTAGACATCATCTGAAGAACAGATTTGATACATGAAACACTAAAGACCGAAGACCAGAAGAATTGTGGGATGACATCAAGAACATAATACAGGAAGAATGCAAAATGTCATTAAGAAGACAAGAAAGAAGGAAAAGGTCAAAATGGATGTCAGAAGAGACACTGAAACTTGCTCTTCAGTGTATAGATGCTAAAGCAAATAGAAGAAATGAGGAGGTCCAAGAGCTGAACAGAAAATTTCAAAGGTCAGCTCAAGAAGACAAAGCCAAATATTACAACAAAATGTGAAAAGATCTGGAGTCAGAAAAACAAAAAGGAAGAACACACTCAGCATTTCTCAAGCTGGGGGAACTGAAGAAAAAGTTCAAGCCTCGACTTTCATTATTCAAAGAGTCTCTGGGAAAATTATTGAAACGATGCAGAAAGCATCAAAAGATGGAGGGAATACACAGCCACTGTACCAAAAGGAAATGGTTAATGTTCAACCATTTCAAGAGGTAGCATATGATCAAGAGCCAATGATACTGAAGGAGAAAGTCCAAGGTACATT